ATAACTGCAGGTTGGAGATTAGGGAAGCATCATGTTTAATCCAGAGAAACTTGTGTTCCGTTTCCAAAACATGTCTGCTAATATTCGGCTTCCATAAAGCCAAACTAAAACCAACTTGGATTCAGGGCTGAGCAGCAGCTGACCTAATTATAGTGGAATTTGGAGCTTTCCGGAACTTAAGTTGTTGTGATGTCTTCAAGCCTGTTTCACTAATCTCAGTAAGAAATGCCGCTGACATCTGTTTCAAGCAGTGACTCAGAACACAGCAGTCATTCCTGCAGCTGCGTGCCCAAAGACTCACTCAAGGTTTCACCCCCCTCCTTCCCCCATTTACACTGGAATTACCAACTTGACCTGCAAAACAGAAGACTCAGCTAAATCTGCTGTGCACAAACATGGCAAGATGCAGTACTGATGGGTTTAAGTACTGCATAGCAGGAGCATTATACAGAGGGGAGGGGGGAATAGAGAGGCCAAAAGAAGCATGAATTCAAAAGAAGCATGAATTTCACAAAATACGGATGTGATCAAGATACCGAAAAATTCTGATATGTGGTGTATCACGCTCCTACCTAGATCTGAAAGTGTCAAATGAAGTTAAATCAAGCATTAGTCTGGTATGCTCCTTCTCTTTTAATATAATCCTAACCTTCAAACAAGTCACTACTTCAATCGCCCCATCTTTATTATTCCAGCCTTTACTCTGCTGTCAAGGGAGCATAGACCTGTGCATCAAAGGTGAGAGGCTCCCTACGCTCCCTTGTCAGTGTTCTCTATGTCTCTCTGTATTTGTGTCTAAGCCGGCGTCCTCAGAGCTCCGCACATCTCCCAGTCAGTGTGATTTCAACTTGTACCACTGCTGCTGTTAATTCAATCTCTGAATCTCCTCATCAAACGTTCCATCACGCAACACCCTGCTTGCTTGGCCACTGACAGAGACGCTCGACCCACACTGCACTTCACTCTTGTCTCTTCTAATGAGGTCAATTAGCTGTAAGTATATGTAAATGGAAGCAGCAAGCGAGGTCAGACATTGTCCAAAGTGGGGCGCAGACAACAGAGGTTTGCATTATGACAGTTGTGACCAAAATACTGATATATTGGCTCGAATGTGTAAAGGGTGTGGGTAGGCTTGGATGAAGTTGTGCTTCAGTCAAACAGAACAGGGCTTGTCTGAGGTGGAGTGTTTTTGTCACTAATGTCACAACTTGAGAGACAGGTTCCCCCAAATTCTAGATACTAATCCAGCCAATACGCATACGCACGATATTGTCTTTTGTGAAATAAAAAAGTTCCCATGGTGTTTTTCCTCTTTTCGTGTGAGTATAACTCCACCCAAAACACAATAAGAACATCACATTAGGCTTGAAGGCAAGGTGTTGCTTTAATCAACCAGGTCTCTGTCCTACAGTCATTACTCTTGTCTTAACAAGTCAAAAACACAGCAGGTGCTGATCACACCCTAGATAATACAGGCTTGAACATCAACACTGAACCTAAAACGAAGGTGGATGAATGTAGGTGCAGTTGTTACTGTATACAGCACCACATTTTTAAGACTAGGATGAGTCATTCCTCTCCATTTAAAAACATCTTTGCACCCAGCAAACAAATAAAAGTAAAGTTTCCTGCTCGGCTCAACACAGAGCTTCAGTTAGATCAGTGAAGAATAGCTTGAGATCCCACTATTTTCCCGACATACCGCTGCTCCTGTGTCTGATTTCAGATAGCATGCCGGTGTTCCAGATTCAGAGGTGAGCCCGCAATGCATCAGATCAGTTAATTTGGCTTTATAAATACCTCTGCTGCCGGCTAAAAGGCAGAACAATATTTACCCCCCATTCCATGTTTGTATTATTTTCACAGAACCACGAGACAGTCACAAAACTACAGCCTGGAATAGGTTGAATAAAATGAGTTTTTGTCAGGTTTTCGGCAGCTTCAGACCTAAAAAACCACACGATAGCATGAACGAACCAGTTGTTCTCAGAAGCTACAGGCAAACAAGAGCACAAGACACAGCACTCCTCTTAAACTCTTAAGTGAGTTCATTTTCTAAGTACTGATGTCTTCTGAAGAACAAGAATCTTTGAAGTACATTTATGAGGCCCTTTCGGGTTGATGCTTCCAATATCGTACATGCAGTGTTGGCATCCTTTTTAAAATCTTACATTTTAAGCCTTTCACAACTTGGTGTTTCTGGTTCTGGGTCTTGTTCTCTTACCTCTCTCATCTCTTGGGAGATGGTGATCAGACGTTCGTTCTCAGACTGGGTATTGGTGAGGATGTTGCGTGCCTGGCGGAGCTCGGTCTGCAGCTCCAGGACCCTCTGCTCGTAGTAGGCCTCCTTACATGCTGACTCCTGGATTAGAGACTCCTCGCGACTCTCCCCATCTGCTGCTACCTTTCTGTGGTTGGAGTAGGCTTGTCCAAAGGCCTAAAGATACAATGAAGAACAAATAGTACATTTGTTAATAGCATTCAATGGCCACACAATGTGAATCCGATTATTCAAATGCTGAATATTAAGTTTATAAGTGACAAAAACTCCTTTAAAGTGATATTGATATTGTCTCCTGTGGTTAAGACGGGGGCTTGGGCTAAAAAAACACCATATATTACCATCGCCTTGTCAGTATAATCAGTAAGGCTCCATCTGGGCTACATCATCCCGTCTTCCCCCATTCACTCCCTCCCACCCCTCCCTCCCTGACCCACAGCATGTTGGCATCCCCTGCACGTGCTCTGCAGTGACTCCACAGATGGGAAAATGAAACAGGAAAAGTAGAGCAAATGGACGTGTCCGGGTGATCATGAGAAGCTCCTATTCTAATGCTCTTAATACCTCAGGGATCATAGCAGAGCAAGGGAAGGCCACCAGACACTATTTGATTTTTACCGATTGCAAGACGGGGATAAAGTTCATGAAGATTAAATAATCATGGGTGCCATTGGCTGCAGCTTCTACCTTCTGTAAGGGAATATACGCTGTTGAAAGGCTGTGTGGTTTGAGTGTTTAATATGAAAGGATGTATCCCTATTATTAGTGCTGCTGTAATTTTTGACCCTAATTCGTTAATGGCCTGCAAGGCCTTGACAACAAATGTAGACAAAGACACACAGAGGAAGGGAGAGAGAGACCTTCACTAAAGCTGAATATAGGTTAGGCTTCTCTCTCTCATCTCAAAATAATCATGCTACTGATTACGGATTTTATTTCCAATCCTGTAACCACCAGTGATCCGATGGAAACTCTGATTCATGCCGATGCTCTAAGCTCGAGCACAGCAAGTTATCTGCAATCACCTGAGGCGCTGTATTAAATCTGTGCTGCACTGTCTCTCCTCTCTGACCTGCTACCCTCTTACATCTGCACGTGACACGGCTGCAGTAGGATTTTCTGTTTGACTGGATATCGTATTAATCCCTGTAATTCCTTTATAGAAAGGAAAATCTGGAAATTTGTATCACTGCAACTGACCTACTTGCTTGGCTTAAGACGAATATGCGAATGTGCAAAACTAGTTTAATGGGTTACAGGAGTGTGTGACATCATGTCTCATCCATGGTAGTTAGAATACCTCTCATATTCAAGGAAAGATGACAGTCCAAGCAGGAAGATAGCGACGGTGAACAGTTTTAATCTCACTCAGCAGCACTATATGCTTCATTTAGACAGAACGGCAATTGGAAATGAGGTTGTAGCATAATGAACCTTATCTTTCTAAGAACAAACTTCTTTATAAACAGCCACATTACCGCATGTGCCAAACAGAATGAATGTGCTAAACAATGTCATAACACTCTTCAATTTTAAAGAAGAACTGATAACTGACAAAGTTACTCAAATACATATTGAGGCCCAACACTAAAGCCGAATTGTGATGAATGGCTAATAATATAAGTAATGGTTTAGCCATATGATGCCCATCTTTGAGTTTTGGAAACAATATGAAGATGAACTATTTGCTGATTAATTTATAATAAAAATATATATCTGTTAGTTGCAGCTCTATGACACAGAGATGTAAACATACACCTTAATCATCCCCAGTGCTCTAAAGACTGGGAGGTGCTTAACTAATCAGATGACCAAAGTTTGCATGAGTCTTTCCTGACACATGTCCATCAATAAATAACTAATGTCAGTAACCTCTGATAAGAGTGTTCTTCATACCTTGCCATCTACTTCCCTTTGCTTAAAAAATAATCGGCAGGAGTGGGCTAAGTTTGATTAGAAAGTCAAGAGGCAGGATTAACCCAATCAGAAATGAGGGGAATCCCAGCATTATAATCTTGGTGCATGGTGGATATCGAAGGGAGTCCAATCAATCCAAACTAAGAGGCCTGTCCTTCAAACAAAAAGTAGAGCCCCCTGCAGCCCAAACCCACTGACCCCAGGTCTTTAATCTCAGCTACCCAAGCGTGGCTTTAGGCTACTTTTAGGGGAGGGTAAATTGGGGCTGCACGCGACCGCAGGCCTATAATCTCACAGTGAGCTGCCTACCCAATTTATAATTCATCTTTAGCTTGGCATATGTCGCTTTTTTTTTTACATTGGACATGTGACCATGGATTATTAATCTCTCGCAAAGCTAATCAAAGGTAGTTCTTTAGTCATTAGCACGCTGTCTGGACTGCATTTCCTCATAGATTTTCCTCACAGACGATTACAGCAAAACATTATGACACTACATAAGGAGAAGTTGATAATTTCAGAGATTTATCCCACTGCACAAGCCAGATACATTATGGACTGAGGTTAGGCACCATGCTGAGCTGGACTTTATACTCCAAGCCACCATGTGGAGATCACAGCACATAATCACTGTGATCAAAAGCAGGATGTGACAGAGGAGCTGATACAATGAGACAAGCGCCCTCAGATCTTACTTCGCCTTTTTTTTTTTAGCAGTCAGAATTTTGTCATTACTTCCCCTACATTGCTCGAACCATAACAAAGGCTCTGAACGGCCTAGTCGCATGATTATCGCATGGAAACTTCACAAGTGTAAATAAAGACGCTGCGTGGGTGCATGAGCGCAGGCTAATTTAAGGAAGGAGAATGTTGCTATGACATTTTGAGTCGATATCAAAACACTGGTTCTTCTGGTAATGGGACTTATTTTAGACTCAGGGTGTTAAATTGAATCCCCTTTACGAGGGTTTATCTTTCTGCAAAACTAATGATGCTACAACAGTGCACTCTTTGACAGGAAAGGCTTTAACAAAAATTATCTTTGTTTATGTGTTCAAACACAATGTGGTGTGATCACTGCATTGTCCTCTAATCTGACCACAGACTTTAAAGTGTGCTGATTAAAAGGTGAGAGAAATCAGGACTGAGGCGATGTGAATAAAAGAGGAAATGATAAACAACGGGTTCTGAAGGCTACAGCCCAGCTGCTCATATAGTCAACACCTTTCTTGGTATAGGAAATTAAAGCAGATGAGAATATAGGTCACAGAGTTGACACCGGTTTTCCTGCTCAGAATTCTACTGTGCATGTTCCTCTAATCCGGTGATTCAAGATCACAAGGGGGAAAAGCTTTGGGTCTCTGACAAGCAACAAACATATCAATAGTGCTGGTCTCAGAGGTGCTGGGGAGCTGAACTCAACCAAATCTAAAATTCTATTTTCAGTTTCTGTTCCGCTGGCAATGAAAAGTGTTTGTTGTGGCAAGAAGAGAGGACAGTGAGCGGGTAGAGATGTCTCAAGAGATCTGATTATTGCAGACCCCTTGAACTGGAGAATAAATCCAATAGGTACATTCAAGTTAACCAATCCACACATGAACTGAATGCTGGGCTGGATTTAAGTAAGAGGACAAGAGCGTTTCAATCAATATGAGCGGGTTATTTTGAAAAGCCCTGCATTAGGAGCAGAACCCCATTAGAGCATTCTGGATTTGGGTTGATTCTTCTATCTCTGCTGTAGCTCTAATCATCTCATTGTTCAAGTTTCCATTTAGCCCCCTGTGGTCTCATAGCATGACTCCAATAGAAAAGTAAAGCTTGCTGAAAAAAGACTAGCAGAGGAGGCAGCCAGGAAAAAAGAAATGGAAACATGATAAGACAGAGAGAGGAAAACGTATTTGTTGCTGAGCCAGATTAAAAGAAGCTGCTCATTTTCATTCAAGCCTTGATGTAAAGCTGTTTCCAGACATAATCTGTGGAAAATGTCCTTGAAAATTGGGTCCGGGCATTTTCCGGACTTTGCCTTTCACATATGAACCCACTGATGATCATATTTTGATTGGGCTGATTAACATCTTCGAGAAAATAGATACAAATTAAACAAATAAAGATGCATGGATAAAAAGTTGGAGATAAAATCTGGAGAAGAGTATCTACATAGATAAATTTAACGAGACAGTATAATTATAAAAAAGCACAGTGAGCTGCCTTCCCTCATCCCTCATCTCAACACTGACTTCAGGCCATAATGCTGTCATGACATGCACAACAGAACATGCCTTTGGTGCAAAACCAGATAACATACCCTAGAGATGCAGAATTGTGATAAGAGACTGGTTCACAAGTCTTGCAGAAAACAGAGTGGTCTGATTTTAAGCCAGGATTTCAGACAGTATTCTTTTTATGACACAGACATCCTGTGATGACGAATGTTAAACAATGTAACACTGAGTCATTTAGATCGATGTAGTTAGTAGTTCTGAGGTTGACCCTGGATTCCAAAGCAGTGTTTCCGCAAGTCTGAATGCTGGTCAGTGTTGTCACTGTGGGCGTCTTGCGGAGGAAGAGGGGTGGAGCAGAAAGAAAGAGAAAACACACTGAATGGCTTCTCCTGCCTCGTGAAGCGCAGCTCACGTGGACCTCCACTTTGTGATGATAAACAGAGACATGCTGCGTTTCTCTGCCGTTTTGTCTCTGTCACCATCTCCATTCGCAGGCCATGTGCAGACAGCGACACTAAAGGGACAAATAGCTTTGAGGCGATTCTATATTTAACTGCCCACGATCAACTCTTCATAATAAAAGATCTCTTGGGGCATGTGGTTGAAAGACATCTGGCCAACCAGCAGCCTCCTGCAGCACATGTTTGACCTCGGACTGAAGGCTGACCTAGTATTCCACTCACTACACCAAATAAATACACCAATAAGAGTTCACTTTGTTATTTCTGCATCAACAAGAAACAAGGAATGCTTCCCACCTCACGTGGCAGTGAATAGTTGTTTAAGTTAACATTTACAGTGAGCTCTGTTGCTCAGTGGTGAAGGTTATGCCAAAGCTACTCGCTATAACAGACAAGCTAATTATTTACTTCAGACTTTACTCTTCAGTGGAATGTGTGATGGAAAAAATACAAATCCACTGATATAATGATTAACTCTCCACTGGTCTGAATTCTCCTCTGATTACGCCTCTGATGATCTCAAATCACATCAGCAACTCTAAACCTTTCCAGCAGG